GGGATCCCGCAGCATCCCGGTATCCCCCCGGGTCACCCATTGGCCCCTGGTCAGCACCCAAATGCTCATCCCGGCGCCGGAATGGTACAGCAAGTACATCCCGGAGTATCAGCTCCGGGAGGCCCTCAGGTCACTCAGGGTGGACCAATGATGGGTGGGATGCCACCAGGTGCTGGAACAACCGCTCCTGGAGGTCCTGTACAAGCTCATGCTCTCTCTCATCTGAACCCAGCGCAAGCGCATCTGTTCCAGCAACCACACTTTGCGCAACAGTGTAGGTTTTTACCTCTTTTTTTCCCCTTTACCCTCGGACCCCCGATTTTCCCGAACAAGGTCCGGCCAAACACCATGATAATGATTGACGGCTAATGATATGTGTTTTTACCCTGTAGTTGCCAATAACCCTCAACTCATGCACCAGCAGCAGCAGCAACAGCTCTTAAGACAGCGGATGCTCTTTCAGCAGCAACAACAGCAACAACAGCAACAGCATGGTGGGCTTCCCGTATCAATGCCGAATGGTACGCAGGCATTGAATGCCGCTCAGCTGGCAGCCATGCAGAATCCTGGGATGCGTCCGGTCATATCCCAAATGCAACTTCAGCAGATGCCTCATGGACAGCCGCAGAATATACAACAACAGCAGCATTTCCTGGCTATGCAAGCTCAGCAAGCTCAGCAAGCTCAGCAGGCTCAACAGGCTCAACAGGCCCAGCAAGCTCAACAAGCACATCAGGCCCAGCAAGTGCAACAGCAGACTCCACAACCTGGCCAGCAGACTCCACAGCAGCGCCCTGCTCCTCAACCTCAAAATGTACATGATGCCCAAAGTGTTACCCCTCAACCGCAGCCGATGCCGCCGCCGCATCAGGGAAGTGCCACCCCGCAGCCCACCCCTCAACAACACCCACCTGCCTCTCAGCCGCCACAGCAGCCTGCCGTTCAGCAGCCGCAGCCAACGCCCAATCCGCCACCACAGCAATTACCGCAGTCCCAGCAACCGGGTCAGCAAGGCCAGCAGCAACAGCAACAGCAACAACAACAACAAGCGCAGCAACAGCCACAGCAACCAACGCAACCACAGCAGCCCCAGTCGCAGCCGCAGCCACAGCCTCAGCAGGGTCAACAACAGGGTCAGCAACAACAGCCACAGGGTCAGCAGCAGCAGGGACCGCCGATGACAGCCCAGGAGGCCCAATTGAAGGCCCAGCAACAGCAAAATGCCATGATGATGCAGCAGCGGATGAACATGAAAGGGGCCACGATACTATGTCTTAATACATTTGCAGAACAGCTTAGTAATTTCACGGTGTGTGCTACTTGCATACTTGTATTACAGCTCTGAAAAGCAAATGCTAACTGTTCACAGAGCCGCGGCGAGGCGTACGACTTGTTATACTGGCAGTCTTTTGTGGATAAATTCTACTCGCCCTCTGGCGTTTTGCGACAAGGAGTATGGAATCCGCAGACCGGCTCTAAACAGTTCGAGATCGCAACGCCTGCATTAGCACGCTACTACCTAACCCAATTCACAAGCGGAATTCGTCACATTCAAATGATTGTTGAAAATGCACGGGAAAGGGACTCGCCAAATGGAGGCCATATCGTCGAAAGTCCAAAAACCTCGTTCATTTATTGGTTTGTCAACGACACACAGGTGTGTTCCTCCACGCAAAGACCATCATACCTGGGTCGCTAACCTAGAAATAGATTTTTAGTAGCGGGAAATTGAGGGCGCACTTCGATATGAACAACAAAATTGAAATGCTTGATATCGACATTTCGAGTTATACTGAGTACCTCCCTCGCAGCCAGTTGCAAGCATTGGAGGCTGCCGACCAAAAACAAAGTCCGAAAGTCTCTAAGAATATGGGCAAGCGGGCTCAACAGAAGCAGGCCCTACAGCCTGCCTTTACCTTACCCGAGTCTATGGTGACCGCCAATGGTGTACCTTTCGCTGTACTGAGCTTCTTGGAGGTAAGTCTTTAGAAAGTGGTCTCTATGGTGATATAGCTAATCACAGATGCGCCATAGGTCGCCGAAACAATATCTCAAATGCAATTGTTATTCCAATACTCTCAGCAGAACCCTCAACTTTCGGCCCCTGAGGCGCTGTGCAACCTCGTTAATAGCTTGCCGACTCAAACACCCACTCCCGGGTTTATGCCAGCCCCGATGAATCCTGCTATGCAGCCTGGCCAGAACCCGCGCGGCCCCAATATGAATGGGCCCAACCAGTTTGCTTCTCCAGCAATGGCACATCTTGGCCTGCCGGGTGCCCAAGGGTCGCCTCATCTTGGCGGTTCGGCTCATCCAAGTCCGGCGCAAAGCCATCTTGCCGGCCCTCCAGGTATGGTGCCACCGGGCCAAATGCAACCAAATGTCGGCCAGGGCACGAGCGCTAGTGCTAGCCCAAATGTTAGTCATAAACGACGCCGGGCAAGTACGGTCAAGATGGAAAACGATGACACCGGCGCTCCGGAGGTCAACGGCACCGTTGCCCCGGGACCAAAGACGGTAAAAGCCAGTCCTCGAGTGGGTGGTAAAAGGCAGAAAGGCACTGCTAATTAGAGGAGTTATGACAATGGGCTTTGATCGCATTTTTTTTTGACATTTTCTTTTTCTCAAGAGACGGGGAACTGGCGTACCGTTTTTGGATACCTTTGCGATGCTGATCTTCTCTTTTTTTTATGGGGCCTCTATCCATTGAACATATCGGATTATCGTTGTCATTGCAATTATGCGCGGTCTTTTGTCGGTGTAGTGTGATGGATACGGTATGGCTGTTGCGATCTCGGTTGGCGGTGCGAGGTACCCGGCCTCCTTGAAGTCTATATCGCGTACTACGAATCGTTCCCGCCGTACACGATCCGCTTTATTGCCTGTGGTTTGTTTGCTCGGAGTTCATGTCCTGTGACTTTGCTCTGCCTCTGTATCTTATGGAGGCGATGTTGCGAGACCTTGAGCTCGATTCCCAATAGCGTTACTGGTCATTTTCTACCATTCGGACCGCTCTATTGATATCCATGTCTTTCCGTTGGCGATTGATGTGTCTGGCGTTGGGCTTCTGTTCTCTGGAAATAATTCTTGCTGCTTGCTATTTCGTCTGTGCTGTACGTTGACACTGCATACCGCGCCGTTTGGGAATGTACCTGAAGAGATAATGTAGTTATGGCTCTATTGATTGATTGATTGACTGGCTTCGTTTTGTTTGGTGCTTTATTTCTGGAACTTTTAGACGAGGTGATTGGACACGAAACATGGTTCACTGGTTTATACTACTAGTAGTACTGGGTAGCTACTGGCCAAGATCTTCGGCGGATCTGCAGTACATTGGGGACAGCTGGATTGCGGAGCCCTACGTTTAGTATCTTATTCCAACCCGCCCGGATCCAATCTTATCAAAACTCATGACATATCGGTTCATGTCAGCATGGGTCCAATCGGAATGCTACCTCGCTTAGAAGCAAACCGTCATGAAGAGTCCCCTAGGAGAGAATTTATGGAGGCATCGGCAGCCTCCGCTCGTTCGGCGAACGAATGAATGCCGTCCATGGCCGAGAACAACTCTAAATCAATGATTCAATACCTGCACTGATGCCCCTCCTTGGCTACTAGTATAACTACCCCTCCACACCCAATTCACCACAACATCCTACTATATACCCCTTCTCCTATAACCATACACTTCTCCTCACAACACCACCCCCCCCAAAATGTCGCATTCTCACTCCCATGACCAAGGCATTAGCCACTCCCACGATGACTTCGGTGGCCACGGTCACTCGCATGAGATCCTCGACGGACCCGGTTCCTTTCTGAACCGTGAAATGCCACTGATCGAGGGCCGCGACTGGAGAGATCGCGCCTTCACCATCGGTATCGGCGGGTACGTCTTCAGCAAACACATATTTAATTGAACAAAAAAAAAAGACAAAACAAGAATCTCCATTCAAACACTAACAACACTATAAACAGCCCCGTCGGATCCGGAAAAACAGCCCTAATGCTCGCATTATGCCAAGCTCTCCGAGACGAGTATAACATCGCAGCAGTGACCAACGACATTTTCACCCGGTAAACACCTACAACCATCCCAGAACAAAAAAAATAAATAAATAAAAGTAAAAAATGAATTGCCCCACTAACACGGAAACCCTACCCCCGTAACAGGGAAGATGCTGAATTCCTCAACCGCCACAAAGCCCTCGCGTCCAAGCGCATCCGCGCCATCGAGACGGGTGGCTGCCCGCATGCCGCCGTGCGTGAGGACATCAGCGCGAACCTCCTTGCGCTGCAATCCCTCCACAAGCAGTTCCAGACGGATCTCCTCCTGATCGAGTCTGGCGGTGATAACCTCGCGGCCAACTACTCGCGCGAGCTGGCTGACTTCATCATCTATGTTATTGATGTCGCGGGTGGTGATAAGGTGCCCCGGAAGGGTGGACCGGGCATTACCGGGTCGGATCTGTTGGTGGTGAACAAGTGTGATTTGGCGCATATCGTTGGGGCTGATTTGGGGGTTATGGAGAGGGATGCGGCAAAGATGAGGGAGGGAGGTCCGACTGTGTTTGCCGAGGTGAAGAATGGCAAGGGGATGCAGCATATCATTAACTTGATTATTAGTGCGTGGAAGGGAAGCGGTGCTTATGACCTGAGCTTGGAGAGGTGGAATGCTGGAGCTACCAGGGGTTCTGGCAGTGTGGATGAGCAGTAGATTATGATCTATGATTTCTCGCAAACGATATGTTTGTAAATGTACAATTGCTGGTGGTCTATTCACTACATACAAAAGGCGTAAGTTAGAAAGAAAACTTTTTTTGTTTGAAATCCCATATTCCACACCCTTGACCAACGCCTCACAAATGCAGAGTTCATTCGTTCGTGAACAAAACCAATAAGAGCTATAGCTCTTACGAGAGCATCGGGTATATGAAAAGCTCCTGACGGAAAGAAGCAAAAAAGCAATATCCATGAATTCACCGGAAGCAGGGACCGAACTAGATCTCCTTCTTGGCGAACCGGGCCAGTGCAGGGCCCAGATCCTCCCGCTCGGCACGGAGCTTGTCCCTTGCACGGGCTTGGTGCTCTTTGCGCAGCATCTCGGCCTTGACCCGCTTGTCGTCGACGACGTTCCTGCGGCCCTTCTTCCGCAGGTACTTGCGCAGGGCGCTGTTGCGGCGCGCGCGGTTCTTGAGCTTCTCCATGGCGTCTTCGGGTCTGCGGTCGAGGTCGCGCTCTTCGCGGTTCTTCTGGTCGCTGATGGTGTCCAGCTTTCCGATGAAGGTGGGGTCCAAGGAGATCATGTCGGGCTGTAGCTTGTTGAGCAGACCCTGCACTTCGCCCTCCTGGCGCTGTCTCTTGTTCTCGTACGGGTTGGCCTCTAGAGCGTCGAAGTTGGGTTCACCGGCGCCGGGGACGATGATACTGGCGAAGCCCTGGTCATGGGTAACACCGAGCACATCCTCGAAGGGGCACCAGCGCATGTTCTCGATACGTTGGCCATCTCCGCCCCAGGCCATATACGGACTCTTGACCTTGCCTTGGTCGGCAGCGGCGGCGTCGAAGAGACCCCGCCATACGCTGACCTGGGTGCCCCAGCCAACGGCCGTCAAACCGCGGTCACTGATCGCAACCGAGGCACCTGGTTGGTAGCACGAGTACGAATGCACTTCGCGATACATGCGAATATCCCACACGTTCATCTTCATATCCTGGCCGGTCGAGACCATATACCGGCCTGATCTGTCCATCGCCATGGAACGAACCGGCCCCCGGTGGACGAGGGCCTTCACCAGCGCCGTCTGGGAATTAGGAGACCATAAGCTGACGGTTCCGTTCTGGTGGCCGACATGGATGATAGCGTTCCACGGGTTCTGGGCTAATGATGTGGGAGCGCCCATACGGGTGGGCAGTTCGGCGACCATTTGTCCGGTAGAAGTATCGGTGTACTTGAGGTGGCCGCTCATTTGCTAGGGTAAACATGATCGTTAGACAAGTTTTACTGACCCGGATGGGGTTAATACTCACAGCACTAGCGAGAAGAAAGTGGTATGGAAGAAATTCGAGGAAGAGCGGTTCAAGGTGCTTGCTGAGACAATGAATTTCCGTTCCAGCTTGATCGTAGATGTAGACATATTTCTTTTGGGCTACGGCGAAGAACTGGTTATTGTGCAGCCACCGAGCATCCCGAACCGTCTCTCCCAAATTGAGCTCGCATCCTAGTCGTCCTGCACGCCAGTCCATCGTCGCAACATGTCCTTTCCGGCCAGCCAACAGAAGATCACGTCCATTTCTCGTATAGTCTGCCCGGTAGGGTCCAAAGTCGTTCAGTCGCAATTCAAACCCCTTCTTAGCTGTCTCGATGCCAACGCCCTCCTTGATATCATCCTGTCGAACCTTGTATGTCCGCTCCAGCTCTGTCTCGGGTTCGAGGAATCCGGCTTCGTGCTCCAAGAGAATCTCCGCATCCTTCGCCTTAAGCGCAGCTTGTTTGAACTTGTTTTCGACGGATCTGAGATTGGCGCGCAGTTTCTTATCCCTCACGGTTTGCATCGGAATTGCCTTTCCTCGTCCATATTTTTTTTGCGCTTCAATGAGTGCTTTATTCTCTTTGCGTTTTTTGTTGGCCGGCGCGACGGCCTTGGTCGACGGGTTATCCGCCATCTGTGAGGAAATACAGAAGTGTGAAAGCGAGAAAGAAAGGTGAATTAAAGAAAGTGAAAAAGTGAAAAAGACGAGCACAACAATCAAAAGCGTAAAAGTAAGAAGAAAGGTGTTGGAGTAACGATCCGGAGGTTTTGCGGGTCTTTCGCAGGAAAATTCATGCCAAGACCTTTTTTCCCTTTCGCTTGTCCACCACAGCGGATTTTTTTTCTGCAAACTGACCGCTTGTAGATCTCATTGCCCACTGGGGACCTGCTGGGCCGTTTACTGTGTACCGGTTTATAATATCTCGGTTTCTCTTTCTATTTAACATTCTCTGTAAATAAATTCACACTGGAATCCCTCCCTTTCCGTTTCAAAGGGTCCAGCGGTGCCAATTCGGCGCCCACCCAAACGATGCAGCATCATCACCGTTCCACCACCAAATCTTCCCACAAGCCATTCAAGACCAAGCATGCGTCTAAGGGTGCGCTGAAGGAGAAGGCGAAGGGTACGACTGGACCGCATTTTTCCTTGTACTTTTTTATGGTCTAGAGCCTATTGCTAATGCCTTGCAGGCAAAGTTGAACGAGGCGAGCGGGGCACGCGCAAGACCCCTCATCAACAACTTATGTCAAAGCTCGACCGGAGGAATCAAGCCCGCCAGAAGCAGCAGGTGAAGCACCAGGAGAAGGCTCAAGCAACCAGCATCTTCTCCGGGCAGAGTGGCGCTCCCCGCCATGTCGCCGTTGTGCCGCTGTCGGCCGACGTCGATATTGCCGCTATCATACGGTCCCTGAATGAGAGCGTGGAAGTTTCTTGCGAGGTCTCCCCTGACACCCTCTCCCGCGTGCGCATCGATCGCTTCCGACAGAGTGTGCAATATATCCCCGCGAAGTATGATTTGATGAATGCCTTGGATGTGTGTCGTATGGCCGACTTTGTGGTCGTGGCTCTTTCGTCGGAGGTTGAGGTTCAGGAAGAAGGCGAACTTATCCTGCGCTCGATCGAGGGCCAGGGTATATCTAATGTTCTTGCGGTTGTTCAGGTATGCAATCTGGTCTGTTTATTAGCGTTCGTGGTGCTAACTAGACTGTTTAGGGGCTTGATAAGATCAATCCACCCAAGAAACGCCCACAGGTAGCCGCTTCCCTGAAGTCATTCATCAACCATTTCTTCCCATCAGTGGAGAAGGTTCTCTCTGTGGATTCCAGACAAGAATGTTCCAACGCCATCCGTTCTCTCTGTACCGCTACGCCCAAGGGTATCCGCTGGCGCGATGATCGTAGCTGGATGCTCATCGAAAATGTCGCCTGGCCCGAGGCCAACTCAGAAGTTGTGGACGATGTTGTTGTGACCGGTGTTGTACGTGGAAGGGGATTGAAGGCCGATCGTTTAGTCCACATCCCCGGCTGGGGTGATTTCCAGATCGACTCAATCACAGCAGCCCCATTGCCGCAAGCACGAGGCAAACGTGACGATGCTATGAATGTCGACGAGAGCGAATCTTCCCAAGTTTTGGATACTCCCACTGCTGACATCGATGACCTGGCTGTTGTGGCGCCTGAGGAGATCGAAATAGAAGATGATGACATGGAAATTCCTGAGGAAGAACGGAGGGGTGTCTTGCTTGACGAGCACCATTACTTCTCAGACGACGATTCTCACATCCCTGCCAAGCCCAAGAAACTACCAAAGGGTACATCAGAGTATCAATCTGCATGGTTCTTGGACGATATTTCTGTTTCCGGATCAGACATGAGCGATGGCGAGGACGAGGAGATGGCTATGGACACAGCTGGAGCGCCAGAAGACGGTGTCTTCCCAGACAACCACGACGCGATGACGGAAGCCGGAGCTACCGAGTACCCCCAGTCAGAGATGTTCGCTGACCCATCACCCGAAGATGAGGAAAGAGAGCTGGAGGAATACCGGGCCAGCCGCAGAAGGGAAGCCAAGGAGGATCTGGAATTCCCTGACGAAATCGAACTTCACCCTAATGTTCTTGCCAGAGAACGTTTGGCACGCTTCAGAGGTCTGAAGAACTTCAAGACTAGCCCCTGGGAGACAAGGGAAGACCGACCCCACGAACCAGAGGACTGGCGCCGACTACTTCAGATTATTGACTACAAGGGCTCCAAGAACAGGACTATCAGGGAGGCACTTATCGGTGGTGTTAACCCTGGTATCCGTGTGGACGTACACCTTCGTGCCGTGTCCACGTCTCTTCGCAAGAAGCCACAGCCGCTGTGTCTGTTCTCTCTCCTCCGTCACGAGCACAAGAATACCGTTGTTAATGTGAATATGACTTTGACCTCTAACATCGAAGAGCCACTGAAGTCCAAGGAAGAACTCATTGTTCAGTGCGGACCTCGCCGCATGGTCGTCAACCCTATCTTCTCCTCGAACGACAACACGCCAAACAACGTGCACAAATTCGACCGTTTCCTCCACCCCGGCCGCAGTGCCATTGCAACATGGATTGGACCCCTTACCTGGGGCGCCGTTCCTGTTCTTGTTTTCAAGAACAAGTCCGTCCAAGACCCAGAGGTCATGGACGGAGACGACCAACCGGATGTCGAACAATTGGAACTCATCGCAACCGGCACAGTTGTGGCACCCGATACGTCCCGCGTTGTCGCCAAGCGCGCAATCCTCACCGGTCACCCATACAAGATCCACAAGAGGGTCGTCACGGTACGCTACATGTTCTTCAACCCGGAGGACATCAACTGGTTCAAGGCCCTCCAGCTGTGGACCAGAAGAGGCCGCAGCGGTTTCATCAAGGAGAGTCTGGGTACCCATGGTTACTTCAAGGCTACCTTCGATGCCAAGATCAACCCTCAAGATTCGATCGGTATCAGCTTGTACAAGCGGGTCTTCCCTCGGAAGGCTCGCACTCTCGAAGAGGTTACTGCTTAAGGGTTTGTGTTTTTGCCGCTGGGATTTAGGAATTGATATGGGCGGTTTCCAAGGGAAAGATGATATGATACCACAAAGTCGGTTGCATGAATTGACGATTCTCACCTCTTGAAAGATTGAGGTGTTCAAAAAGCATTAGGATTTCATATAGATTTCAATAAGTAGATCAGGTCAAGCTTTAATGAGTTACGATCTTTCTTTTTCTAGTATCCGGCTCTCTCGCATGGGTAATTGAATGAATTAGTAGCTCAGTAACACCCTTTCCCGAAGTAGCTGAAAATATGTATATTTACGAGCAAGCCCCAAATCCAAGACACGTAGTGCACCGTAAAACTGAGGTCATGGTCATGATAACAACGAACATCCAAACAAGTGGCGAGGAGCGCTACTTCTGAATTTATGTGGTGAGGTATGTGTGAAACAAAAACGCAAAAAGAGATATGGATATAGCTATCTAAGAGAAATCCTCTGCCTGCTCCTCGATGTTGTTCTTGATGCGGAGTAGCAGGGTTGTCTTCCACTTGTCCAACTTGCTCAGCTGATCGAATTGGAAGAGCTTGTCGGCGAAGGCCTCCTGGTCACCTTGTTCAATGGTCTGAACGAGGTCAATAAGCAACTGGTGCTCCCTTGTTGAGGCAAAAGTGTTATCAATATCACGGTAGTTCTCGAGGGCGCGGTTGGTGGCAACCAGATCCTAAACATGGTTAGTATACCTTGAATATATCAAGGAAACGATCGAAACGCGTACATTAGTGGCCAAATGGCAGATGCCACCCTTCAGGAAGTAATCTTTAACGGACCACTTCATCAGGTTATTAGAAATGGATGAACGGCCGATTCTCTCGTAGTGTTCGATAGCTTTGTAATAGTCGCCTTCCAGGGCGGCCAAATCAGCAGCTTTGAGATAGTGCTTGTTTGCAAGGCTAATCGACCAGGAGAATTAGTAAGTATCATCGTGGAAGAATGGGGGAAGAACGGCATACGCTTCAGCGTTATCACTGTCGAACCACTCGGCAGCTTTCTCGTAGGCTTCCAGAGCCTTCTTCTGATCACCCAGTTCCACTTCATATACCTCTGCCAAGTACTGCTGTTGAGTGGCAGCACGGCGGAAGTTGCCTTTTAGTACGTAGTGTTGGATAGCGCTTGAGAGCACACGGGCGGCATCTTCAGGGTCCGACTTGCGGTAGACCTTGAAGGCTTCCTGCAACGAATTGGCAGCGTCGTCAGGCTCATTCAGGCTCTGTGTTTGGATAGAGGCGGCCTTTTCGAATGCTAAACCGGCTTCCTTGTCTAAGTTTCCACAAAGGCACAGGTCAATATTTGTGCACGTCATAGCACCGAACGTTAAGCAGTGCGGGGGAGGGACATACTTTGCTTTTGGACTCGGAATGCATTTCCAGCTTGCGTGTACAAGTCCGCTGCGTTTTCGTATTTCTCTGTCCGTCCGCTGAAGAAGCTGAAACCACTACCGGCGCCCTGCAGCGCTTTGTCTGCCTGTATGTGACCACGGGACATCAGTGATCGTCATTCTGGGGTAGGTAACGATGTTTGAACTTACTTTCTGGAGCAAAACACGAGGGTCTTGAGCCATGTTGAATAAGCTGTGTCGGCCCCAGCAACAAAGTAAGACAGATGCACTGGAGGTCAGGTTTCGGCACTAGAGACTAAAATTTATCAGGAGGGGCTGTGACGTTGATAGATGGAAATATATAGTTAGACTGAGGGGGATCGGAAAGTTGGACGAGGAGATGATCTGCCGCCCGCCCACGTAGGCGGTGGGCGGGTTTGCGTTCAAGTTATTGCTTCATTTCAATACATACTGAACTAATGTTTATTTTCCGTGACCTTTTCACCCTACCCTCGACTCGGCTAATTCTTTCAATCTCTATTCATTGAGAACCTTCACGGCAACCAATTACCAAACTAGCTTCGGGTATCCGATTATACGACACATCGAGGTACAATGCTTTGTCTACGCTCCACGACTTCTCAATTGTCCAGACGGATTAGTCCTCGGACTCTGCAACTTTCTAACCTGACTGGAGTTCGCCTCTACAGCTCTAAGCCCGAGCAGGTAGACGTCGATGCGCTACTTGCGAAGCCATCCTGGTCCGTTCGTTCTCTCCTTCCCAACCAGACCGCGAAACAATCGTCGCCGTCAGTCACGCCGGCGCAACTCCACCATCTACTCCGCCTGTCAGCCCTTCCATTGCCATCTAGCAAGGAGGAGGAAACTAAGATGCTCGAGACCCTTGAGTCTCAGATCCATTTCGTGAAAGAGATACAGCGTGCTGACGTGACGGGTGTCGAGCCGCTGCGGAGCATCCGGGACGAAAGCCCCGAGGCATTGAAGGAGAACACGGTTGGACTGGATCAATTGAAGGATGCTCTAGCCAAAGAACGAGTGGTCGGCCGCAACAAGAGGATACAACGCGTCGAGACCGAGAGAAATGGTCGCCCGGACGGAGATGCTTGGGACGGAAATGCTCTTGGTTATGCTTCCAAGACGAAGGGCAAATTCTTCGTCGTGGAAACAAGTAACTAAAGGATTCTCCAGTTGACGATGAATCGTGAATTACTCTACTCAGCTTTGGAGATGCTGCTGAGCGAGGTATTTATCAACGAAGCTGAAAAGCAGCGCATCTCTGGGCAGCTGAGTCAGCAACCCAGTGACTTCATCGTCCTGAAGGCAACGTTACATTATTTGTCAACTCGAACAACCTGTCGCAAGACTGTCTCTGGCTGACTTGTCCAAGATCTTCTAACCATAGCAAAAATTTACCGGTCCCATTGTCCTTTTATCAATGTGGAAGAATTTGAAAGAGAAACATGCCAGCAAATTCGGGTCGGCCGCCCCTGTGGCTCCGAAGAATGACGGCAACCAAGACCTAACTACTATATTGAATCGGTCCCAACGGGCCGACCTGACAATGCTGGTTGCTGCGATTCTGGAATACATGAGAGCCACAGTTGAGCAGAATTTTCATGGTTCACCGTCACATAGTCATGAGACCTCTCCTGACCGCAAAGAAAGCGATTCGGCTTTAATATCACATGATCAGCAAGGCAACCCGGCCGACCGATCCGACTTTAAACCCACTGTGCAAGACTTGAAAGCCGAAGCCACCTCGCTCACAAGCTTTGATGACTGGAGGGACTCGGTTATCCTTCGAATTGGTGAAGTCGTTAACAAAACCGATGGTGATGATGATGATGATGATGATGATGATGATGAACAGCACGCTAGTACTAGCTCGCAAGCTTCTCAACAACAAGCTCCAGTAGTGCCTGAAGACCAGGGCTCATTGGAAAAGTTGCGTGAGGTCTATCCTCCCGTGGAAACTCCGCTCCTTCAGCTTCCAGAAGCCAAAAGACTCTTGATTCTCCATTCACTGCTTCTATTGCTGCTCAGCTTAGAGCATTATAATGCTCGCTCGCGAGTGTTGATGCTTTACGTCGCATCTAGTCTACACTTGAATGTAAAGATCCTCAATGGCGATGAGGTCAAGGTTGCCCGTGTACTACTTGACACTGCCATTGAGTTAACAAAGAACGCGGAAGCACAGAATCATGGCAAGAAAGGTGACTCTTCGAGAAAGTGGAAGGTTGGCATTGCTTCAGTCGCCGGAGCAGCCCTCATTGGCATTACTGGTGGACTTGCCGCGCCCCTAGTTGCAGCTGGGCTTGGAACTGTCTTGGGGGGTATTGGACTTGGTGCTACGGCAGCTGCAGGGTACTTGGGTGCTCTTGCTGGCAGTGGTGTCATCGTTGGCGGTTTGTTCGGCGCTTACGGAGGCCGAATGACTGGGCGCATGGTGGATAAATATGCCCGTGAAGTGGAGGACTTCGCATTCCTGCCTGTCCGTGGTTCTCGGCAGAGACCTCGTGATGAAAAGGAAGCCGCTAAGCAGGATCATCGACTACGAGTTACTATTGGCATCACCGGTTGGGTTACGGAGGAAGATAATTTCGTCGTTCCATGGCGTGTCATTGGCGCGGATTCCGAGGTCTTTGGCCTCCGCTGGGAAACAGAGCCGTTAATGAATCTCGGCAATGCAATGGATCTCCTGGTAACAAGTGCTGCATGGGTTGCCGGTGAGCAAGTTTTGAAGAAGACGTTCTTTGCATCTCTCTTGAGTGCCGTGGTTCTGCCTTTAGGCCTGCTCAAGGTTGCTCGTGTAGCCGACAACCCTTTCAGTGTTGCGAAGGCCCGAGCTGACAAGGCTGGAGAGGTTCTTGCCGACGCGTTGATCAACAAAGTGCAGGGCGAGAGATCTGTCACTCTTATAGGGTATTCCTTAGGTTCGCGGGTGATCTTCTCCTGCCTCCAGAGCTTGGCCAAACGCGGCGCATACGGCCTCGTGGACTCTGCAATATTGATGGGATCAGCGACTCCTTCCAATGCACAACACTGGCGCCGTATGCGAAGCATAGTCAGCGGACGGCTGGTTAATGTTTACTCAGAGAACGATGCTGTGCTTGCTTTATTGTATCGCACCAGCAGTCTTCAACTGGGCGTTGCGGGGCTACAACCCGTCCAAGGCGTAGCCGGTGTTGAGAACTTGGACGCCGGCGACATCATCAGTGGTCACTTGCGGTACCAATTTCTGGTCGGACATATTCTCGGCAAGATCGGACTGGAGAGTATTGATGTCCGTGAAGTGGAACGCGAGGAGGCTGCACTGGCCGCCAAGGATCAGAGACAGGAACAGGAACGGATCCAAAATGAGCGCCGGGCAGGTGTTCAAGGCAGTGACTCCGCACAACAGAAGTTGGAGAGCGGCGAGCTGAATGATGAGGAAAATCGCTTGCAGAAGCAGGTCGAAGAGAGGAAACTTGAGCGTCTGCCTTTGCGTCACAATAAGCCGGGACACCAAGATCTCCATTCAGCTCATGATGCGGAAAGGGAGTATAAGAACTGAGGAGTCTGAGCAAATAGTGTTGTCATGTGCGGTTGAGAAGTGTGATGTCTAATGTGAGCGTCAAGGCAGTAAAGCAGAGATTCCCAGTTGCGTGTGTTATAGATCATCAGACATAAATGAATGCTTCATCTTTGGCATAGTTATCTTTTCACCACCTAATGTTATTTTATCACTATATCATTGTATGTTTGCATAAAGTACCGTATCCCACGGCGTAAATCCATTGTGTTTAGGGCTGGTGCATATAGGATTATGGCCAGTTCCAAGCCCAAAGAATTGTCCTTCTGGAAACTGCCTACCATTCACCACCAAAGAGTAGAAACAAGGTACGTATAGGACTTGTCCAGATCCTCCAAGTTCCAAGCTATACAAGGTGCATAAGATAAATGCCAGTCCAAGGCTGGACCAACCATCTATGCCGACAATTTCCATGTAATTGCAATGGACTTAGAAGCCCTTGACGGCGTTCAGCCCATCGATGCCTGCTGGTTACACGGGCATCCTTCGACAAATAGAGTTAGTTACCCTACGGTCGTTAGTTTCCCTTTCCCATGGTTGGATCCCAACCAGGTAACTTCCGTAAAAGAAGCGGCCTTTCCCCGTGGAAGACCGTCCACCAGAAGGCGAGACACAGAACAACCCCGAATATAGATTCCACGAGAGAGATGGAATAAATCAATGTCTCCAGTTGGTTTTCCAATCGAGCCATGGGAACCAAACTTGAGTCCTGGGTAATTGGGGATGTCTCCCCTTGTATGCGTAGGCTCTGGTAGACACGAAGCGAATGCCTCGGGTATAAATAGGGCAGTGATGTCGTTGGACTTGTATCCTACCAGGCAGTCCTTTGCATCCTTCCCAGCTTTTAATTGACTTATTGCTTGTTCTTTTGTCACCCTACAGCTGAGAAAGGTCTTCGACAATATGAGTGCGCAGATTTCAGAGTCCAGTTTTGCGAAGAAAAAGGGAGTGATATACGCACAGTACCGTCTTCCAAGTGTTATCGGTGGAGACAAGAGTTGGAATGAGGTTAAGGAAGATGGCGAACAAGCGTTGTCAGTGCTGGTGGACTTGTACAAAGGATGGATGATCGGAGCAGGAGAGGTCACCCTTTCTAGACAGAGTAATAATGATAAAGTCGACTACTTCTGTGTGAAAATGGGCGAATATGAGAGATGTTCGGAGCCCAGTGTGAAGGAAGCGGGGGAGAGGCTGTTTTCGATAATTCGCCAGTTGTTGAATTCATGGAGACGTGCGGACGACATTGAGAAGTATGACCGAGAGGGTATTTTTTGAGTAAACAGCTTAATGTTACCGTTCTGTCTGGGGCTGTCTTGTTTGGATGAGTGTTTATGGATATATTTGGGGTTGTTTAGACTGGAAATCGAAATGAATTGGTTGATCTCACGCTTTTGGAAAGATACCTCCACAGTTTTCCATCTTCGTCAGTATAAGTTACGATGATGTGATTCTCTGCCAGGAGGATCGCCAAATGAGATGTTAAAACATACCGTGTATGTCATGTAAGCTGAATTGCCAATTTTTCCGCCGAGGATAACTTAGAAGCACAAGAGGGTGGACCGTCGAGATCGAAGCTGAAATCAGACGTCCTCTTGGTAAAGGATAAGGACAGTACATTGAAGCACAGTACCGTTGGCGACCAAGACAGAATCAGCCCAACTGGCTTCTAACTGTAGATTAAATACTCTTCCTGTCGATATCATCTTATGGCATCATTCAGCTCACTCGTCGCAAGTGGAAAACTCTCATTGACAACGTGTCTGTATCACCCACCCACCTTCGGACTCTACCAGATTTCCCGGGTTGATCTCGTGACAGGCTTCTACTGGTATCTGTTGCATCATCGTCATACTCATGAGTCTTGTCTTGAGTATTCCTCACACTGAATAGAAGCCGTGCTCATGGGGGTTCCCTTGCCCGCAATGATTCTGAAGGTCTCTCAGAGGATCCTCCTGTGCCCTGTCATAGTACCTGGTGTCCTGCTGACGGCCTAGTATTTGGTCTGTCCCAGGCCGGTTATCTTACGGAGGGGTTTTTTTTAAGCATTCACGATCAACATATAACCATCCCTGACTAACTTCCAATGCGAAGGCCGCATAGCATCTGCCGCTCCAAAGGATAGAGGCAGAAAAACAACAGAATAAAGATAGGACCCATACTATGCACATTACTAGTCACACAAGCTACATTTATCTTCGGCCATCGGCGCCATTAAGAGTATCCATCGGTGTACTGGAATGTATCTAGCATATCAAGAAAAACATCCAAGTTCGAGGAAGCCAAGAAATCTTACAGTCTCCAAATGTAGTAGACTACCAAATCTTCTCCAGATTCCTGAATATCGGAATATATGAACTACTTGCAAGCCATTCACCGGCAACTAGAGCATCTTAGATGGTACCTTCCTTACGGATTTGATCGCTGTGCTTGTTTCCTGCATGGTAGGTTTCACTCACAAGGATTACTCCGCTCTGGTTGTAAACGTCTGTCCTGCAACTTCATGGAATCAACCCTTGCCCTATAGATTGTCAGGATGTCACCATCTACATGTACAAAACAAGACGGATAATAACGATATCATTGAGATATAAAGCCGATGGACGTCTCAGGTCGATGGCAAAAGCGATTATCAGGAATAGACTGGGAAACCCGCAAAGAAAAGCACGTCCTTCTCTGTTTTCTTGAATGGACATTCCTCGAGATATCTCTGAGATTGTTTCAGACAACTAAGAAGAAAACCGAAACGATTGTTTTGGGCCCCATGAAATATCCCTGATACCTTGGAAAGAAGATTCTCCTGTGGAAGCCTGGTCCCAAGAGTCCACTTTTGGAGTATAAGATCTCTGTTCAGGACTTCGGAGGTCTATGATAATAAGTCAGCACCCTGGTTCCTAGATTCTGATATTCGCTCTTGCTACTTCTCTATACGTTTTTACTGGCCTCCCGAACACATTTCAGATCTACCACAAGAAGATCCACTCAGAATGTCCGTGCCAATAGACCCTGAAAGTAAGCTTTATGGCGAACACTGGTATGCCGAGCTTGATCTTTCAGGAGCCTACAGCAGCTTTGACCACGCCTTCGATCCTATAGAGGATGGCACTGACCTTAATAAAAAGGCAAGATTCGCTGCCAAGACCATAATCCTTATTAGGGCTGGCCTTTTCAAAGTCAAGATCTCAAAAACGAATAATACAACTAAAACCAGATCCTACTGCCATCTTATAGGTCCGTACAAGGAGGAACCTACCGTTGATGAGGGGACAAGAAAGATGCTGGAACATCTGGGAAAAGAGGTCGAAGCACCGTCATCTGCTCTAGACTTACTTGAAGCATACTGGCGCCGCCTCCGGGAATGGCACGCCGATGCAAGTTTATCTGACCAACAACAACGTTCGTCTCGCGAAGACACCCCTGCACCCCCTGGAGCACCTCGAATGGGGTGTCTTGATGATAATGATGTCCCGGAGGGGGAGATGGGTAACTTCTGGTAATGAGAAGAACCAGTCTTTTTGTCTGGAGTCGTGAGATATACTGGCATTTTGGTGAGGAATGGGGATGTAGAGGCGCATCTTGCCTTGTCTTTGTCTCGTCTATAGTCTTGTTTTGGAATCATGAGACAATTTCTTTATACTATAGTATCTGTCACCTTCTTTATATCTATAGGGTCAATGCATGTTCTTTGTAAATTGATTAATAGGTATCATGACAAATACCAGAGAACCCCAGCCTCAGATCAAGTTCCTCTAAATCTATCGGCATAGGCATAGTTCTAAACGCCACTGGGGTTGTTTCGACGTTCAAGGAAAATGTTAAGATAGCTTTGTATCTTGCATGCCCCAAATACAACGATTGGATATAGTACAAGGAATTTGCCGTATTAACAGCTATCTTCCAGCGCTTTATAAAGAACTGAGGCTCCTCAGTTTTGTGAACGGCTATTATAACCATCCTACACTTCCAGTACTGACTACCTAATAGGAAGACGCTGAACAAACCCTAGAAGATATTTCCAACAAAACCCAACCAGAATGGATCCCTGGGATTTCCAAGAGGAGAAACTCCCAATGAAGCAATACTTCGCTGAGGCCAACCTCGTAGAAACCAACCGTGGAAAGAGAATCATTGAATACGACACACTACGCGACCGCGATGACCTTGACAAGACGCAGAGAGTCGCAGCCGATGTGATACAGTATATCAAACAAGGATACCTCAACGTGGGAGTTACAGAGAAGCACAGAAATGAAAAGTACATAGCACCTGGTCACATATTCTCGAAGAGAATGTACGTTCGCGAGAAACCAACCCAACAAGCGGCAAAGGAAACCATGTTAGACCACCTCAAGGATCTCTTGATGATATCCGCACTAGAGACCAAAAGGAAGCCACAGGCAGAACCTCGGACTCTTGGTAGGCCTCAAATCGAAGATGGTCGTACTTCTATATTGCATCACAGTGGGGGCGATTCAGACGATTGGTTTGAAAGCGAACGTAACTGGATTAATAGTGACCGCTAAACTGGGTTGAATTTGTTTTCTTTTCTTTTCTTTTTCTTTTTTTGGTTATTCTTGATACGGGCCGTTGTTTTTGGAGTGGTCCTGTAGGGTATAATGTATCTTTGGTATTTTGTACAATAGTTTCTTTATATGTCATGTCAAAGAATACCCATGTCTAGGGCTGGCACATACTCTATAACAAGCCTAAGGCAAGGCATACTCTAACAGTATGTACCTGATGTACGCTACACTTATCATTAAGAGAAAGTAATAGTTTAGAGCTTATACTCACACATATTTCAAAGAATAGAAGCTACTTCACTCCCCTGTTGTTGATAAGAGGGGAAAATACTGGACACTTTGACTATGCGGGTACTCCCCAAGGCTATTATATGTACATATTATATGGGGTTCGGAGTACCTGAGTAAGCCCACTCGCCTTTCTCCCGCAGGTAGCCAGTGGACGGCTTTACCCCTGGAGAGTGCCATGAAACATCTAGATGGGGTTACACAGCGCTTGACTCCTGAGGGCAAGGGTAAGCATTGGCGAAGCGAAGCCCACATGACCAGGGACATTCCGTCGTCTACGTTACTTGCCAGGAGGTGAAATGGGGCTTTATTGACTATGAACGGGGCTTGAATCCTCGGAACTGTGCTGCACCACTCTTTTTCTTTCTGGACCCTGATATTTATTGCTTTGGAAAAGGATAGAAAGTTCACTATCGAAAGGTCGGACAAGACACTTGTACCAATGGCTGGCAAAGAATCAAACGAAGAGGTATACTGGTATGTTGAGGTCAGAGATCCGGGTTTTGTTTGGGATGAGACATGTTTCGACTCGAGTGATATACAAAACACTCTTTTTCAGCGGACCCTGAGTCTATGGATGTCTGGATTGAAATATGGAAGTCTGAGTGCGAGGTTCACGACCGGAAACAATGACGGCCAGGAGGGTGTCATCTCCACGTGCATGGATGAGAAGTATTCCCCAGGCCAGGAGCCAGACGAGGAGGCGAGGAAGAAGGGAGAGGAGAAACTGGTGAACGAAATGGAAAAATTGTTTAAAGGAGTATGAATAATCTTGACGCTTTCCTCGATTTCGGAATATGGGTACTGAAGAAGGTCAATGTTATTTTATCTCAATTTCTTTTCTTTTCTTTTTCCTTCTTTCTTTCTTTCTTTCTTTTTTTTTTTTTTTGGAAGAAATGTACTTGTTTTGTACTGGGGCAATTGGCCTTTAGTTTGTAGGTCGTCTTATGTGTATGGAACGAGGTAATGGCATGTCTCTATCTCTTCTCTACCTTGACGGAAGGCAATATCTTTTGCTACAAATCGGATCTGTGTAGAAGGGACTCTTCGGCGAGAACGGCAATTTCCAGTGCGACATTTATCCTGGTATTGTATTCTGGCTCTGCTAATTTGCCATTGTTCAGAAAGATCCCGCTCAAGAGAATAAACAACCTTCAACCATCATTATGCAGGTTCCATAATTTAAGGTACAATTTTTCTTTTCTTTCTTTCCTCCCTTCTTGAGCCGGAAATCCCAGGAAAACCCGGGATAAACCAGATAGTAAGGTTAATACCCCCATGCTTTACTCCGAAGAAACTACAAAGACGCTTCAATTATCCGAAGAGCAAGATAAATCATCCATAAAATATCGGTGGTGGGATAATCCGAGTCTTCATAACTCAAGACTACAGTATAGGAAATTCCTCTGCTAGTCTCGAAACCAAACGTATTGTTTATCATATAAAGCTAGGCCTTTATTTCTTCCCATTACAATACTTTCATTTAAGAACCTCTTTGAACACCACGTGAGTAACCTATCACAAACGTGATAGATGCCGTCATGGGTATTAAACCGGGAGTTGAGAACCTCGACAAAAAAGAGGTATTTGTGCAGATCGAAGCCGACATTGACGATGGTTGTAGGCCAGACGAAACAAACCCAGAAGATGTGGGTCGTTATTTAATTGAAAGGGAGACCTTCCTTAGCCGATGCTTGAAAATCCTCGGCGAACCTGATACCGTGGACTACGAAGCCGTCACAATCACGGATCAAGATAATAGCGATCGGCGTAACATCATATCTTGTTCCCTGGGTGTGAGACCAGTGGGTGGGAGACGAGTCGTTTATGCTGCGGCCAAGCGCAAACTACGCAGGAAGATAAGAGAACTCCTGGATGAGATAAATTGAAGCTTGATATGTTACAAAGCCAACAACAGCAAGGCTGAATCTTTGGGCAGATTTGACGTTCTGGTGCATGTATTAGGCTGTTGGCAAATGCTATGCGCAGAGCATGTTAGTCTACTACAGATGATTGTCAAGGATGGTATCGAAGACGGTGCCTGAGGTACGTATGGTGAAATTATGGAGGAGCCTGAGTTCTAAAGAGACGGGTTTGACTCGTTTCTGAACAAATGGAACAAGCAAGTATAACTCTGCGAGATTTGAGCTCGCAATCTAACTGTACCGAAATGTCATTCGGCCAATGGCGAAACGGGGGAAGCACAGCTTTGTTCGTAGTAGTACATCGGTAATCTCTAGCATGTGCGTCTACTAATTGTACATCCGCTACAATATCAAGAGGTAGTCTGTCACGTAGTAGCTTATCACTCTGGTACCGCTCAAAATTTATAGTTGGGCTCCATCTATTCTACATTAGACGCTACCCGTTTAAGAATATCTTGACGTTCAGATGCATTGACGCCCGCCTCAGTCTCAGCAGCTTTCCAGAACATGGGTAAAACTTAGCTAGGCGAGGCCTACTGACTGCTAGTACAGTCAGATCATAGTACCCCCGTCGTGACTGCACACCAAAATGGGTATTCTCATGACTAGTCCGGTTAAATAGGTGGCTATTCAACACACTGGCTCTGATCAGATGTGATGTATTGAGATCATGTGTCTCTATGACTACAACAGCGTCACAGTTGACGGGGTCTAAGAAGATGGAGAGTAAAGAAAGAAAAGCAGGAGGGTGAAGACGGGGGAATAGAAGTAGACCAGCTGCCAGCCTGGAAAAGTGAATAATGTCGTTCTTTGCTTAATGTCACCGCGACAGTTCCGCATAACAGTATAGCTTACCTTTTTTTTTTGGTCCACAATCAACCTTTGCATTTAATGAAAACCAAAAGACCAAAAACAAAAGAAACCCACACTACATTTAGCACGGCATGGATGTACCAGTGGGCCTAAACAACCTCAGCAGCACCACAATCAAACACTTCATCCAAGCCCATGCCAACATCTCCGATGAAATCCACATAGACCTGCAAGACACGCGCCTCTCAGCACACCATCTACTAGAGTAAACAACGTTCAGAACCTATAATGATAGATAATACCGACTCTACAAAGTGCGATGCCATCGTGATTACATAATAATGGTCACAAGGGTGTGATGCTGTCTCTTAGTTTGTGCAAATACCCACTGGATGAGAAGCCGAGCTTTTGTTGTGGTCCCAGCTAAAGACGGTGGTGTAGCTGCCGCTGGATAAAATTAGGGTTAATATTGAGAACCGATTGAAGGCCATACGGAGACAGCTTGGGTGGTTGCAAAACGTAAGTTTGTGTAAGGCTCTTGCTAGATCACTGCGTATTGTCCTCTACAATAAAGAAAGCCATTGTGTTGTGGTTCATTGTTGAGGTTGGTTTTGGGAGACAAGGGCTTAGTTCCTCTATAACTATAAAGGTAGCTTAGGCTTCTAAGCTTATTGCTATAGATGATGGGCTCTGTTTGTTCATGTATGCTCATAGTTTTTGTACTAATAACATTTCCTTAACTATTACAGTCTACTGGAATAGACACCTACCATCACCTTGAGTAAGCTTATACAATATGAATGCACCACAGGAACACGGGGCCAACGGGCCGACACAAGTGATGTGGTATATCAAGCTCAAAGCTTCAGCCAGATACATGTGGGTCAGCAAAGTACTTGAGGATAAGAAATTTATCACCACCTTCTGGTGGAATGCCTACGGCGCGCCAAACGGGGAGAAGGGAAGCGTGCAAAAGAACATACGGACCACAGCCCTGGGATATATTGAGTTCAGGTCGGCGAGACTTGCTCGGACGAGCCACCGAGTAAGGAAGAAGCCGATCAAAAGTTGGTTGATGATATTCAAACAAGACTTGATGCGTTCTACAGGAAGAATCCACACATGAAAACGACGATAGTAAAATGGTATGTTGAGGTTCAGACAATGAATGCGCCTTGGACAGAATGGAAGGGGAAGATAAAACTCGACTCGCCCGAGTATTTCCGGTTCCTAGAGAGTTGTCTAAGGATTACGAAGCGTGGGGGAGCTAGGGTCACTACTGATGACAATTCATCGAAAGACGATACGTACAATTTGCTGCTGGGCAAGTTTTGTGATCATCAGTTCCCCGACCATAAACAAGCTAACTTGAGGTTGGAGCGTGAAATATACGATGCCATTTCTAAGCACCACACCAATGGCTGGAGGTATGTCCCTCCAGCCTTAGGGTTCCGGTGAACAGCCTGAAGAGGCCGGGCTGGAATGTGCCATCATGCCAAACATGATCTTGAGTTAATCTCTCTTGGAGATACAACGGGAATATCATACAGGATGTCGGGGTTTGTTTGCAAGAATTAAATTTATTCAAGAATACGGTGGAAGACCTTGAACTGCGAGTCCAGTTGATCTGATTACGTAGACAAGTGCATATTTGTTCTTCTGAATTCGTGCAATATTTACGTTACTACATACATGAATCAAGGGAGTATCATAGCATAAACATCAATCAAACCTCGTAAAGAAATGTCCATCATACCAAACACATTACCAGATCGCATTAATCCCATGACCGAAAAACCTCTGTTTTGCGCCTCATCGCGTAAACTTAAGCATTACAGTCCAGCAAAACGTGCCCATCCAGCAGCCCGGATGGTTGGTTTCTCGTCTGTAGCCTTGTTCATGCCGCCTCGGCCTTCCTCCGCAACCTTGCCACTGACGTCTCGTCTTCTTCCAACTCCAAGCCCCGCAATGTAGTTGCCATATGATAGAGCCGATCCACCGCTTCCATTTGGACCGAAATCAGCCCCAGAGTTGCTGATAACACGGCCCTTACGATCGCTCTCGACTGTCATGGGGCTCTGAGGCGGAACCATAAGCCCGTCTTCATTGGCATCGATCGTGTCATCATGCTGCTTCAGAGCGCCGTAAGTGCTCATCTTCTGGCTTCTGCGTTTCATAAGTTTGCTCTTCTTCCGCCCGAAGCCACGCGTGTCCTCATCGTGATTGCTGACATTCCGGGGAATACTGAGTCCCGTCTTGCTTTCAAGTTCACCGTAAAAACGACCGTTCTTCTCTGGGCTGTCAACAGGGGGTGGCGCAGCTGTTGGATTAGGGGAGAGATTAGGGATATCCACGAGCGCCATACGGCCATTTTGCGTTGCATCGACAGACGTTTCATCAATGGCAGGTTGCGGGGTGGGTGGGTTCAGCGCTAAAGGATTGACGCGTAGTGACTCGGAAGATTCCCGAACCTCGTCATGATCTTCAAAAATATGCATGCGATGGTCCCCAATATCTTCTTCGGCATTGTCGTAGAGCCTATCCCGTTGTGGAAGATAATGATTCTCATCATCGTTTCCATAATATTCCTGTATGGGAACAGATTCATATTCGCCCCGTACATCTTCTCGGATTGTCTCCTCAAGGTCCCATCCAATACGCTGATTGTTGAACCAATCCAAGGGTCCACTATTCCCAGAAGCTGGCGTGTTGGTTGTTCTGCTGTACGCAGAGGAGGGATCGCGGCGGAGGAGATTTTCGTTTTGGCCTTCTTCCACAGGTGAAGCGGATCGAGACGGGAACGCGATCCAGTTTTCCGAAGCTGGGCTCGCACACTGAGATCGACTAGGGACATCTGGAGATCGCTCGCGTACTGGTGAAGCGTAAGAAATTCTGGTTGTAGGCCTCGTGAGAATGTCTGCGTCCTGGTCTGGAAATTGGTACATCATGTGCTCTGAAGTGTCCGCTTGTTGGCCAAAAGGCATCAGCGGCACAGGAAGTTCGTCGTGATCATAAGCCATGGTCATCTGGGATAATCTATTCTCCTTCGCATCTAACGGTGCGTTACTAGAACCACCCTCGGATAATTTGGCCCGTGTGTGCATGAATGACATAGTACGAGGTGCTCCGATCAGCGTCTCGCCCGACATGGTGGAGTCTAAAGTAGAGCTGCTAGTATGCTTCTTGGTGATCTCGGACTTGTTTCGTTTGTGAGGACGGGCTGTCAGGTTATCTTCCAAAGGGTTCAGATCTGGGGGCAGACGGGTAATTTTGCGGAAAATAAGACCCAGAAAGATCGAAATTCCCAAAGAAATCGCATGCATTCCGCCATTGATGACACTTAGCAGAAATGTGGCCTGGGCAATCTTGGTTGAGACCTCAAAGTCGGAACTGAGCAAAGTACTCCAATGGTATGCATTGTCAGTGTACTGGTTGAAGCCTAGATATGCCGCAAACACGTAAAAGGGGACCAAGCCGAGGTCGAAGGTCCCAGAAAATAACATGTAGCTGGCTTGAGTCCCAGCAGGTCTTGTAACTGAGCGACAGAGGTGATAGATACCATAAAGAGTGTGTAAAATTGCCACAGCCGGCTTATAAAATGTTAGGGCAGCGTTCAAGCATATTAAACTCGGACTGTACTTACTCCGACACGGACAATCCATATAAGGGCAGCAGCAGCATTTGTGATAACAATGGCACAGAAAAGTGACCCAAGAGCTCCAATCAGCTGTAAAATACGCAGCCCAAGCTGTACCTTTCGCCCGCAGATCACCCTATTCTTAGTATTTGGGTTCATTGGAGTCCATTTGGACTTGCCATCAGGAATGTTACAATACTTCAGGGTACCCATATCGTCAGTATGTAGGTCTTTTACACGAATATCGTAGACACTTACAGAGTCCGGATGCCGATTGAAATTCACAAGTGGCCCTTTTGGCTTGGGCTTTGACGGTGGACGAGTCCAGCTCGCCTGTGTCACAGCCTTTGGGTTGAAAGGGCGGTCTGTCGGTCCACTAAAGCTGTACGCTGAAGGGTTGTAAAGGAATGGAGGCGACTCTCCCATTGTGGCGATGGAAGAATCTTTGACTTTGTCTTTATTAATACATCCACCCACGCGAGAGAGCGGGGAGATGAGCGCGTGGTAGACGCAATAACCTTAACAAAAAGAATGCCGGGGGAGATGAAGCATGTAGGAACAAGAGACAGAACCATGGAACGATGGAATGTCAGAGGAGGAAAGTGTCCGAGAAGCTCGTGCAAGCTGACCCGTGCAAAAGCCCTTCCCTATCTACTCCGGATCGTCAACATCGCGATAGTCGGCGCGGCAACCGCCCCGATAAGGATCACGTGTACTGCCGTCATGGCCATTTATCGATCTCGGGGAAAGTCAATCAGATCGATAAATTAATTGTGAACTCCACCACGCATCCGTCTCAGGCACAATGAACCTCCAGCGTGTGCCTTACATCTGCTCTCAATGCACGGCGCAGATCAGCCGCTCTCCACTTCGCCGCTCGCCGCATCGTCTTTTGCCGCAGTCAGTATGGCAACGACGTCATAACAGTCAGTCTGTTCAGACTAATCAACCTTTTCGCGTTGCTGTTGTGGGGTCGGGTCCGGCCGGTTTCTATGCAGCCTATAGACTGCTGGCAAAAGTGAACGATGCTGTGGTAGATATGTACGAAAAATTGCCCGTGCCCTTCGGCTGGTGCGGCATGGGGTAGCGCCAGACCATCCGGAAGTCAAGGTACGTCGTGACTAATTGTTCACGATGATTGTGCCCCACCAATGTCGCCATGTTACAGATGGATCAATCTGACTGGTCCTAGAATTGTGAGGAGAAATTCACTGAAGTTGCCTCATCTCCCCGGTTCAACTTCATTGGCAATATTGAACTCGGCGAGAATCTCCCTCTACAAGCGCTTAAGCCTCATTATGACGCTATCTTATTCGCATATGGAGCTCCAAAGGATAAGGAACTGGGTATTCCCGGAGAGAATGCTTGTCGAAATGTATACTCAGCTCGCGAATTTGTCGGATGGTACAACGGACTTCCCGAGCACCGTGACCTAGCACCTGACCTGACAGCCGGTGAAAATGCAGTGATTATCGGCCAGGGCAACGTTGCGCTAGATGTAGCAAGAATCCTTCTGACGGATGTGGATGCCTTGCGCAAGACTGACATAACGGACTATGCTATAGAGGCATTGGCTAAGAGCAAGATCAAGCGAGTTCACGTAGTTGGCCGTCGAGGGCCGATGCAGGTATGTTGGTGGAAACCAGATATATTATGTAGCGCAGCATATTTGTACTGACAATGTGTAGGCTGCATTCACAATCAAGGAGCTTCGTGAGTTGCTCCAGTTACCGGGCGTGTCGTTCGATCCAGTTCGTAAGGAGTTATTCCCACCAGACGATGTCATGAATGCCCTCCCTAGAGCCCAGAAACGGCTCATCCAACTACTCGCAAAGGGATCCAGTAACGATCCAGCAACATCCACCAAGTCCTGGTCTCTAGATTTCCTGCTCTCGCCAGAGTGCCTCAACTGGTCCCCAGTCCACCCATATCGCCTGTCACACGTCAAATTCTCCCGCAATGAGTTAGACCCGGCGGATCCATATATTACTAGCGCAAAGGTGTCGCCCAAGTATCTTTCCAGCGGCTTGCGAGCGCAGGTCAACATTCCCGCCAATACATTCTTCCGAAGTGTTGGATACAAATCACTACCTTTGCCTGGACTAGAAGACCTGGGGATTCAGTTCGACACGAAGCGCGGTGTCATCCCCAACGACGGATTTGGTAGAGTCACGAGCCCCACGAATACAGGTAACAACGAACAGCTCCCTGATGGGTCAGTTATCTCACACCTACCGGGTCTCTACTGCGCTGGCTGGGTCAAGCGTGGACCCACCGGCGTTATCGCAACAACCATGACGGATGCATTTACGACGGCAGATGTGGTGGCGGCTGATTTGAGCAGCCACCGAGGCAAGGGGTCTCTTTTGAATGGCCCCGGCCACAGCACCGGTCTCGGTTGGGAGGGAGTACGCCCTGAGGCCGAGAAGCGTGGCTTGCAGGCAACAACCTGGGAGAATTGGCAGCGTATTGATGCTGCCGAGCGCGAGCGGGGCCAGCAGATCGGTAAACTCCGTTCTAAATTCGGTAGAGTGGAAGAGATGCTGGAAGCTGCACAGTAAGGATGCGTGTACACTATGATAAACCTCTAACACTAGTTATATAGAACTACTACAATAGATTACGAAAAGATACCATCTCCACTTTCAGAGTCAAATGCAACATTCTTTAATTATATTATCCCGCGTAACGCATTAGTGCTATATCACATGCTGAAATAGAGACACAAGAAGATAAAATTAGATACTTGGATCATGTAATTCATGATTCATCATGACCATCCGTCAAGACAACCTCATCAATTAGGGAAGCCGCAGTTCGAGCGGGGGACTTCAGTGTAGTCCACATTGACTCTGCCCAACTGCTCGGCCAATCCGTTCGTCAGAGTGTTCATGGCCTGCAAGCCGATGTTGAAGCCACCGGGTGCCGCATCAACGGCAGTCACGTAGATGGACTTGTCGATGTTGCCAGCCGCGTAGTGGAGTTGGTAGCACTTCCCGCAGTTGGGGCTGTTCCAGCCGGGGACGGTAGGAGCGCCACCGATGTTAGGGAAGCCCGGGAGGGAGCCGAAGGTGCTGTAGCCCTGGGGGATGAGGCCGTTCACGCCATCCGAGCAGGCAACGGTAGTCAGAGAGCTGCCACCGACATCATACTTTTGGTCGTAGGAGACGGAGATAGTAGCGGCGGTAGAAGCGTCGCTTGACTGCTCAACAGGTGCGGCCAAAGCCGAGGAGAAGAGGGCGAGGAGAGAGATGGTAGTGAAGGATTTCATTGTTATGGTGGGCGGCTTGAAAAGGTGTCGACTGAAGACGGTTTGGGAGGAAATGTTATGGGAAGGCTTAAGGCTTCTGAGTCTTTCTTGGAGAATGTAGTCGGGTTGCTTGGAGTTGTAGGTGTTCTTTGAGGGACTTCGAGGGGGTTTATATACCCAATATCAGGGTGTATCGAAGCAGTAACAGGTGGTTGCCTCGCCACCGTCTCCGAGATACTACATTGCTATCGTGTATAGTTCGGTTACCGTGACTGGAGACATCCCGATAGAACCTTCCTGGACATATTTTTGAAACCGGAGCAATCGCAGAGAAGATGCGGCGGGGAAATACCCACGGTAGAGTGAGACAGTCTCCTCATCTGCTGATGGATTGATGGGATTTGATTCATGCGGTGGGCGGAGATCAATGCGGGGGTGCAGTCACTGGGGATGTCCCGCTTTCCGGGCCAGTCAGATGATGCCGAGTTGGACCCTAATTGAGACATACAGATACTAGGCCATGGCTTTAGGCGTCCGGTTTGGCTCCGCTTGCCCCGATCCGGGATGACACTGATGATCATTCCGTTGGCCACTTCTATTCATAGGTTCCATTGACGGCGTGATACGGTCGAGTCATGCAACGCAACAAGCCAAGGAATTGGACATTTCTATCCCGCATCTTCGGATCCATCCATGGGCACGAAGTATACCCGACAACTCCGAGAGTTGCACATGGGGAGATACCAGCCTCCCTCGCCGCCAATGATGTCATATCGGGCTATGTTATGTGTGGACTATTGATTAATACCTCCAACCAAGATAAGAACTCACTACTAAACCGTTAGTAGAGAGGTCGAGAGGCTTCGAGCGGTGAGATCTGATTCACCTGAATGGCATTAAGCATCTTTCGTGCCAAGAAAACTGCCGGAAATAGCACTATCGCCGAGTTCATGGCAATGCATGACTTCAATATATTGGATATGGTATCTCTCCATAGCTACTAATTATATCTTCATTGCCTCAATCGTATCTGTGTGTCTCAACTGTGCAGACTTGGGACGCCTGATAATTGCAGTGAGAAATCAATCATACCATTACGGTCATTCAATATTCACTGGAGGCCTTGCATAAATTACCTCGGAACTTGCAAGAAAGAATAAATACGTACGGAAACCCGTATGAGTTGTCGTTATGAGACGGCTAGACAACGCTGTGGCACCACGTCAGATTTGGTGGGAAAATATGGCAACGTGACCTACCATGAATAGTTGCATCAGACATGTTCGTCGACGGGAGTCCTAAACGGCCGGATTCGGCAATCCTATTGTGACCGCCGTTGGATAGTCTGGAATGGCCGACAAACCCAAAGCTCGAGAAGTCTACCTATATAATTCCCTCAGCCTGGCATTGATCATGGCCATCTTGTCGAAGGAAGCATCCCATTCCCCGGCTCCTGCTTTAGGATATGCCAAAAAGGACACCCATGGTTCGTTTTCCAGGACCCGATCGGTACAATCCGTCGATACCAAGGTTTTCTGGCTAATATAACGAGCCATGGTTTGAACAACCGATTAGAAGATGGTATTGGATGTATGGTTGCAAAGAATCTCCGCCCTCACCGTCGTGCGAATATCTTCAGGTTTTTGGGACTAAAGTTTTATAAGTGGTCGATCCCCTGAACACCTTTCAGTAACGAGCACAACTCACAATGAATGATAATATCTTCCTTTTAAACTTATAAAACGAAAACTGGACCATATTCCATACTGCGCCTGGGGTGATACGATGCTCTGGATACTTATCTTATAAGGGTGATGCTTGCGGCAAGGAAACACTGAATGCCTGCAGGAGAACTTATAAATTTACCCCATCAAAAGTAAACTTTAGCATGTAGTAGCCGTATCCGGAAAAGAAGCAACACTGGATCCATTCCATGATTGAACGTGACATATTAAAATTTAGTGACTATGACTGGCCTCAGGCTCCCAGGTTCTCGAGTTTATTTGACACCCTGAAGATTTCTTAGCCCCTTCTTTCTTTCCTAGCGTGTAAGCTTCGCCTGTACGATAACTACGACGGATGTCACCCTGTATTATCGTGTACTTTTCATCTTCTTTGACTCTTTTACCGTCTTACGGATCATACATCTAAGTCTAGTTTTTCGGTAGACGTGCTCGGCCAATGCGTGCGAAAATATGCAAAAAGTACTGATACGAGTAGGTACACCAAGGCTCTCCAGGTCTACTGGTAAGGCACTCGGCTGTAGTGAGTGTCGATCCCTACTCTCATCGGAGGATATACTCATCTATCAGGCCCAATCAGCGTTCGTCATTGATTTAGGAGTAGTAATGATCGCACTCCATTTGACCAGGTACGGGTGGCATATGCTCTGTCATTATGACTGCACTTTTAAAGTTCTCGAGCCATCATATATCGATTGCTGAAACTTTCTGGGGTATGACTGCTCTCCTGGCAACCTACTTTTGACAGGGCCTGGCTCTGCACAGGGTTGTCGCCACTTTCGAACAAACCTTGCGAAACGTACCCACCGGGGTTAACGCATGCTCACGAGGATGCCGTTTCTGACTGCAAGTTCTGCCATATGGCTACCAAGGGGTGGTTCTGCGGCGGTAGTTGTCCCTTACAGGCTCTGCACTATACCAGGATCTTCCTGATCCAAGCCATTGGGAATGCCGATCATGTACGAAAGCGTTTGCTCACTTTCCGGGCACCATAGTTGGCTGACTGGGAAGGGCCCACTGACCCCAACTGTGGATCAGCATACAGCAGGCTGTGTACTCCAAATAAAACTATACCCGGCTAATTCCCACACTATGCTTTTATGGGTTGTTCATCAGTGCGTACCAAAAGGCGGCCAACCCTGGAACAATGAGGTGCCCCATATATCTAGCGAGCTGAAACCCTCTCTGGCCAAAGCTTGGGACAGAAAAGCTTTGGATGAGGAGCTTAGCCGGGACAACAAAATGTTCTGAATTATGGGTCAGGAACCGTCCCCAAACCCAATGCTAATCGGTTATATACCTTCATCCTCCCCCAGGGACTTACAGGCGCGGATACCCCTTACCAATATTTCGTCACAAGAGATGAACAATGACCACCCTCATTCGCATATTGCACTTGCTTAATAGCGAGGATGCTCAAACGCACCTCACGAAACGGCAAAGTGCTACACAGGAGCCTCTCACGGGCGGGGATAGAGCGGGGTTTATTGCTATGGGGGTGGTCGCACTTTGCTCTTTTGTTGCATCTTTCGGTTTGCTGAGTTTCCTTACATACCGTTTCATCTTTTGGAAACGTTACTATAAACGTCCTCTTGCCGCCAACCAATACGTCGTGTTGATTTACAATCTTCTCCTGATTGATATCCAACAAGCAACCGCCTTCTTGTTATGCCTCCACTGGGTCTCGCGTGGTAATGTCTACTTTCCAAGTGCGGCCTGCGTTCTACAAGGTTGGTGGATTCAGGTTGGTGACCCTGGAAGTGGGTTATTTATCATGGCAATTGCGATGCACACCGGTGCAGTCGTGCTGAGAGGGCGGCAACTTCCACACCGGACTTTTGTGTGTTGCGTTGTAGGACTATGGGTCTTCATTATCGTGCTAGGAGTGATCCCTGTGGGGTTATTTGGTTCCAAGACTTTCGTCATCTCCGAGGCCGGCTGGGTAAGTTGTAACTCCTGGCAAAGCAGGGACAGTGTGAATACTTACATTTTTAATTTTCAGTGCTGGCTTGGTCCTGAACACGAGACGGAACGCCTCTGGGTCCATTATCTATGGATCTTTCTCGCCGAATTCGGAACTGTCGTTTTCTACGGCATGCTATTCTTTCACCTACGACGTCGCATGAGCGAGGCAGCGATGCTCCGTCAAGGACATCAAGAAAGTCTGAAACGACTAAACCGTGTCGTCATTTACATGGTTATTTACCCGATCGTATACCTGGTCTTATCCCTTCCACTGGCAGCAGGCCGTATGTCCACAGCCAGACACATTGTTCAAAGCAGAGCATATTTCGCCGTGGCTGGGTCCTTAATGGCGTTGTCAGGGCTGGTTGACGTTGTTGTGTACACGTTGACCCGGCGGCACTTGCTGCTGGATACGGAGATCAGCACATCGGATAAGATGTATGCCTACTCCAATTCGAACGCGTACCAGACACATATCACAACTACCACGAGAGAGAACAAGAAGGTGCGTGTGGGGTCTCGGCTACGCCGAGGTCTACAGACACTAAATGACACGATAAACGACGGGGATTCCACTGAAGACCTACGCAAGCACGGCGACATGGAAATGGCCGACCTGGGCCATGGAGTGTACCAGGAGACAACGATCGAGATCTCGCACGAGCCAGCGGACCCGGACGAATATCACGGAAACAAACGGAGTAGTGGGTGATGTGGGCGACGGGCGGAGCTCCCATCTCCACTAAAAAAAATTTATCATACGTCCAGTCCTTTCATTTCGTGCCCTAGGCACCTTTTTCCCCTGTACATTCTTTCAACTCTCATTTCATATTTAATTATAATGATATTATTAATGATACCCCAGCATGTTCCTCTGTGTTTTGTTTCCTTCTTCATGACCTTCTCTACTCGAATGTACGTAACCGTTTGTATAAATCTGTCATACAATGTCTAGTACCGGGCCGAATTTTCGGCAAACGTTTCCATCGCATATCCGGCAGGGTGATCTGCATCACCACTCTCCACTTTGGGCAAAGCTTGAGCATTCGTGTTGAGTCCACTCTGTCGGATCGCACCCGACGCGCGACGGCCTAAACGCAAAGGGGGCTTTTGAAGTTTGGTAGCGCCTACTGCCGACCTATACGGAGTATGTTGCGCACGAATGACAATCCATATGAATGGTAGACAGAATCATCGAAGGCGAAAGACGGGATACACACTGGTCAAGTTCCCCATCTGGCCAGGCTGATCGACATGGATGCGCAACCCATCTACTGACCTTCCCAATGGGGTTATTTATTCTCCTGAAAAGCGCCGGCAGTTCTTTCCGGCTCCATAAAGACCTCGGTGAGTCGGAGTATCTGTCTATTGTACCCCGGTTATGGGCGTGCACGGGGGTATACCATAACAACCATTCCTCATCCAACTTAGAAGTCAATAGTGTGAGTAAAATGTGAACAAAGCTACTTACACTAACGCAAGCCAGACAATCGCTGCCAAATAGTTTTCAGTCTTTAAAACATCTCTTGGTCGTCCCTTCATCCGAGTCGATCATGAACCGAGGATATGATAGAATGGGACCTGCAGGAAAAGCCTAGGGTGCCCGAGAACGTCGATCCAATTAGTATAAGCAGGGACTTGCCTAGGGACCTAGGTCTTTGCTCGACGCATTGCACCTTCTCCAAGTCCATACAACTCTTCTACATAAACTCAAAAGCAGTCTCCAATTACTTAGAGATTCACATGGATCAATATCGTGCTAAAGCCAATCAAACTGCATTTGGAATCTATACGAGATTCTCCGTGCCATTTTCTCCCCCTTTCACCTATCTCCAATTGATGCATACCGTGGCTCTAGTCTAAGTTTTGCGGTTCTAGCCGGAACAACCCCTGGGCTTCTAGAACATATATACCCTATCCTAGGCTAGCATACTTATTAGCATCACCCCCTAGGTTCCAGCTAGGTAAAGTTAGACTAATGCGATTTAATGCGGACGAGGTAAACAGGAAGCTCGACCGTCGATCCACCAAGTAATTACTCCATCGTAATTAGTGGACGACTAACTAAAGACACTTGAAACCGGGAAGCACACTATGCATGAATTAAGACGGCTGATCCAATTTACTCCGGAGGCTTCTGATGTGTTGCTTATAGTCGCAAAGCCACCACTCGTATTAGATGGGGCTCGGCTAAGCGCGATGGGGCTATACGGGAAAGACCAACTTTCGGACAGTATTCTTAGAAATCAATCTTATAAGTGTTTTATTGGCGGGTTTGTCTTTTCCCTTACTAATGATGATTGATACTGGTCTGTTTGATCAACCGTTGGGAAAATGTCTACTGAATGCAATTATGCGAGCAGTTTGTATTTACTTCTGAGCTATCTCGCCGGAGCTCGCAGGATATGCCCTTCTTGCGACTTGATCAGCGACAATCATCTTATCAATGACTAACAGATGATGCCTCGGTGGTGTATAATCTATGACGAGTCTGATTATTAGCGCTTGGTCCCTTGCGAACTGATTGGACCTAACCTAGTCGCGAAAGTGAGTTCCACCGAAAGCATTGTTGAGTATGTGAATACTCAAATTGTTCACAGCTGTATGCAGAGTTTGACTAGCCCGAGACTTGCGCCTTGTGCCCTTTTTTTTTTTTTTTTTTTTT